CTGCCTGCCTGCCTGTCTGTCTGTCCGCATTCATGTATGTATGCATGCATGCACGTGTGCATGAATGTCTGTGTGTGTGTCTCTCGTGCATACATGTATGCATGGGAGCATGTGTGCATGCATGTAGTCCTCCTCCAGAAGACCATAGTTACTGGCCTCTGGTCCTCCTGCAACAGAATGTGGTGAGCCTCGAACTTTGCTGCTTTTCGCCGAGGGTTAGGGATGTACTTGTACTGTGCAAGCAGGAAGCCCGATACAGCGGAAGACCAGAAGTGCAAGAGCACCACTCGAACATTCCGGAAGCATTGCAAGCCACTAAGCCGGTCAGCCGGTCTGCAAGTCGCGGACAGCATGCGCGGGGGAATCTTTCGAGAAAATTCACGAGACTGCCGCGCGAGCATGAAGGGGAGGCCGCAGCGCACACAGATGTGCACAGGATTACGGTGGCAGTACCACGAGTCCAGACGCGACAGCCTTCGCACAGAATACGACTCCAATGGCAAACTGCGTGTGACTTTGGCGAGAGCACAATGCCTGGGGATGTGTGGATGTCAGTGCGCCTTGGTGTGCCACCGTCGAGGGAGATGCCATCGCCTTGCCGTCTGCTGCCGTCACGGATCTACCCAGATGCGCCTGAAAATACCTTCTTCGGAACCACATGAAACGTGTGGCCTTGCTGCTTTTCGGTGACTACAGAGGATATGCGTAGAGTGAGAGTACATGCATGCATATATATATATATGTATATATACATATATAGATATTGATATTGGAGATAGATAGACATACATGCTACAGAGAGATACTCATAATATGTACGTACATTCATACATACATGCATACATACATACATACATACATACATACATGTATATACATAAATGCATACATATACGTACGCACTCACGCACACACACACACACAGATATATATATATATATATCATGCAGGGCTGCTACACCCCCCCCCCCGCCCCCCGACCCCATGGTATCCTCCCCCCCTCCCCGCCCCCCCTTGCCTGTGGTGGTACCCTTCCTGCCCTGCATCTCCACACCGCCCCTGTGGTTTCGTTGTTGTGGTGGGCTCTGCACCCCTTTAGCTGAGGCTTTGGTTGGCCTGAATTGGAATACGCAACACGTGTAACGCATGGACTTGTTGTCACGATAAGTGGCTCAACTACTGTTATGTGGAGCTTCAAGAGCATTTGTTCACCACCACTCATGTCTACAATGTCCCTTTATCCAGGGGGGGGGGGGCGCCCAAAGCCTTGGGTGCTCACCCACGCGCCAAGAGCACATTGGATTGGCATGTGACGTGTGCAGCTTGAGGGGAATGGCTTCTCATGCCATTTGGCGGAGGTGCCCCCTTACGTGCTGGCGGTGCGTGATGTGCTTGAGTGTGGTGGACTGTAGAGCAACTAGATTGCTCCTGTCTCCGTGCTTGCACCCCTTGCCTAGTATCCTGTCCCGCCAAGAGAAGAGCTTTGGGTCAATGACGCGGGCTGTCTTTCCAAGTGCTTCATCCAACCCGCCGGATTGAGTATTTCTTTCTCTTTCTGGTTGGGGGGACGGGCCGGCGGCGAGCTGGGTGATGCATCAAGCATAAATAAACCGCGGTTGGGCCCTTAAGCCTTCGGGCCGGAGCGGCCGCTGTGTTGTAACACTGGTCGACCCCACACGCGCACGCATGCACGCGCACGCGCACACCCACACACACACACATATACACACACACACAGACACAGACACAGACACAGACACAGACGCAGACACAGACACACAGACACACAGACACACACACACACACAGACACAGAGGCACGCGCGCACGCACACAGACACACACAGACACACACACAGACACACACAAACACACAGACACACACAGACACACACAGACACACACAGACACACACAGACACACACAGACACACACAGACACACACACACACACACTCGCACGCACACTCGCACGCACGTGCGTGCGCACATGACAAAGGCCCGTGCGGTCTTTGCCAATTGAATCGGCAGGAGGCCTGCATCGTTGGCCTGCGACAACAAGGTCGAGGCTAGCTCACATGTCGCATCTGTTATTTATTTTTATTTTCTCTTCTTCACCAGGGCATGGGAGGCGGTTTAGGCCCCCCGGTCACTAGGTCCCCCCATTTGCTATGGGGCTTTGAGGAGGCGTGAGAGCAAGGTGTACGTGTTCCCCCGGGTTTGTTTCTTAGCTAACTGCACATATGAGATTTATTTTCTCTCTCTCTCTCTCTACCAGGCAAGAGGGAGCAAGCGGATGCTCACGCCCCCGCACGCGAGCACGCACCTGCAGTCCACGGCAGGTTTTTATCCCCTTTCCAGTTCGTGGAGTAGGGCTCGGCTGTGGAAAAAAAGTGGGGCGGCTGACCAGGGTTCCCCCCTGCGAAAAACAAGCAAGCACTACATGAACAAGTTAGCCAAGCGCAGCGCCACCTTGTCAAGCCTCTCCCCCGCTTTGAATTGACTGACAGGAATGGTCAGGGAGCGTTGAAAAGAACCTAGGATTGGGGCTGTTTGGCCCAGGTGGAATAGAGTTTGTCCGAGAAGAGCCCGATATGTGGCCCGTTTAAAGAGTTCACTCCCCTCCGCTGCATACAAGGACGGAACGAGCTACATTGAGGGCTCGGAAAAAGCTACAGAGAAGGATTGAAAGTACTGGAATCCCCCTCCAGACGCAAGGCACAAAGGTACGTTCAGAAAGCACACCGCGCAAAGGCTCCCCGAAATCTCTGTCCTGCTGGTGCTAGTCCCTGTTCTGCTCGCCGTCTTGCCATGTGTGCTTGTACTTGCTGAATGGCACATTGTAGGGGTTGTTGGCTCCCCCCGGCTGCACTCTATCGCCTCGGCGCCGTTGTGGGTTCGCTCGGCCGTTGACCAAGGATGCCAGCGCTTTCCCCCTGTTGGGAAGGACGGCCTTTGTCGCCCCAGGGCCACGAAGCCTGAGCATCCCCCCTTGTGGTACCAGTGGCTGTGTTTGCCGGCTCTGGGTTCTCCTCGGTGTCAAAGGTGTCGTGCCCCCAATCAGGGACATTGTCCTCTCATCCCCCAATCGGCAGCGGGCCACATGTCTATGTCGGTATTGGGTGTAGGTATCTCGCTCGGCCTTGTTGAGCATCTCCCCCGTGTGCTTCACATGCTTCCCCGTCAGCTTGTCGTGCTTGACTTCTGAGTTGATCCATTGGTCTAGGTTCGGGTCTGGAACAAAGTGGAGGTGCAAACCCTTTCGCGTCTTGAAGAGGACCTTCTCCAGGTGAGGTTTGTTGGCAGAGGTTGCGGCCGGTGTGCCACCCCCAACTGGGGCACCTTCCCGGTGCTGAAGGTACTGTCCCCTCCTCGTCTTGGAAAAGTCTTTCACCTGGTGTTTTTTCGAGGCAGAAGAGCTCGTGGCAGCTGTGTGCTCCCCCGGTGGTGGGGCTTCTTGGCGCGGTCGAGCGGGCATGGCCCCTGAAGCTTGCCCTGTTAGCCCGTGCGTCGGCACTGAAGGTCAGAGCGTTCGTGGCATTTCCTGAAACCAACCTGGCACATCCCCTCAGCGACGCAGCACAGCTTACATATTTTCTCTACCCGTCCTGCCATGGTCCACGTAGTTGTTCTATGCCATAATCTCGCCGTTCTTGACCCAAGTCACGATCTGGTAGGCAAAGGAGTTCCCAACGTGGTAATTCCCCCGGATCGCTGTGGCATTCGAGGAAAGGTGGTGGAAGGTGAAGAAGAGTACAGTATGTACTCCCCCACAGAGGTGTCCAAGTGGAAGACCTTGCACGAACTCGGCCCCCCTCAAGGTTGTAGTGCAACACTCTTGCCCTCCTTGAGTATTGAGCAGGATCCTAGCGAAGGCGGCACGGGCCACTTAAGCAAAATGCGTCGGATATGTTTGCTCAAGCACCGCTGATGAGAAACAGAAAGGCTCCCCCAGGGACAAGCCCCAGGTCAACCCTCTGTCTCCCCCGCCGGATGCAAGGAGGTGGAACAGACCTCCAAGCAAAGGTGCAGCACTTGAACCAAAATGGCAAAGTCTCTCTCTCTCTCTCTCTCTACCAGGTAAGAGGAGCAGAGCGGTCCAGCTTTACCCCCCGCGCGCGAGCGCGCCCCTGCGGTTCGAGGGGTCTCATGGTCTCCCCTACGGGAAATTGCCATAGGGGGCTCGGCTTTACACGGAAAGTAAAAGTCCCCCGGAGCCGGTAAAGGTAAGGGACGATGCCATCGCTGCTGTGTCCCCTCCCTCACTCCGGGCGGATATGAAAGGGTAGAAGGAAAACGTGCTGGGTTTCCCCCACTGAGCTACACGGCTTGGATTGAAAGTGGTGCCTTCATCCCCCGAATTCGGACGCTGACTACCGCATGCGTGCTTGAAAAGAAACTAGGATTGCGAGACCAATGTGGGTCTCATGGATCGAGCTTACCTGAGAAAGGACCAGGATGTAAATCCCCCGGCCCTGTTTAAAGAATTCGCACTTGCGGGTACAACAGTGAACACAGACGGAACGACATGTACAGACTGTTGTCTCCCCCACTGTAAGGAAAGTCTCTCTCTCTCTCTCTCTCTACGAGGTGGGAGTCCCAAGGCGGTCCAGCCCCGAGACTCGCGCGCGTGTGCGCGCCCGCAGGTCCTGGGGTGTCTCACTCACCCCCCAAACAGATTTTCTGCTTGGGGCTCAACTTGACAGGAACGAGTCCCCCTCTCTCAGATGCCCCAGGTCACCAACAACAATCAAACTGACCTGGCTTAGATAAGTTGAATCCCCCCCCTGTGGCATCGTTCGATCGGGTGGACTGTGGGCTTCAAGGTTGCAGGGTATTTTCCCCCACTTCTGGTGCGATCCCCCTCTTCTGCAAGTTGAAAGACAGCTGGTCATTACGTATGATGCACCGCACAAACACAAAGCCACCGCACTACAGTTCGTCAACAATTGCAAGCACTCTGAGGGCCGGACCATGGACATGCAGCGACAGGAACATGTTTCTAAACGAAGCTTGAAAACACTCTCTCTCTCTCTCTCTCTGTGTCTCTTGCTTTCTCTAGTAGGGTATGGCTGCCAATCGTGAGACAACCGAGACCACGGCCGTCGGGACAGTCCAACCGCACCAGCTCGCCGTCTGCTAGAGAGCCATGCCTCGTCTGTACGTCATCGACATGGCTGATGGGACCGCGGACAGGGTCCAAGGACACTGCGCGATGTTGAGAACTTCGGGCTCTGCGAGATCCCCAACAAGGGGGTCTTGGACCTGGGAGCGGGAATGACAGATCCTTTTGACTGTGCAGTTGTGGGATTGCTCGGGGCAAACGCCAATGCCACGAGGCCGGGCTCACATCCTGGGGCTTCACTTTTTTGTTGGAAGGATGCGTTCGCTGCTCACAGCCTATTGCCGTCGTGTCCTTGTCTGCAGCTACCTCGCTCCACTTCCACTTCACCTTTGTGGCACACGACGTTCAAAGACCTCGAATCGTCGAGGCTCAGACTTGCAATTCAACTCCAGAGATTCTCTGCATTCTGCTCCTTTCAGGCTCACGCCCAGAAAAGCCATCTGGACAAGCCTGCAGCGGTTGTCCGTTCTTTCCATTTATTTCAATTCGTTTCGTTTCATGTCATTCCTTCCGTTCCTTCCGTTCATGTCATGTCATGTTCATTCAGTCCATGCCATTCATTCCATTCATTTATTCCAGATCATTCATTTCATCTCATTTCATTCCATTTATTCCATTACTTGATGCATTCATTGATTCATTGCTTCCTTCCTTCGTTCCTTCATTCATTTCCATTCACTCATTTCAACTCATTCATTTCAATTCATGTCATTCATTCTTTGCATTCATTCATTCATTCATTCATTCATTCAATCAATCATTCATTCATTCATTCATTCATTCATTACTTTCTTTCCATTCCATTTCATTTCCTTTCATTCGTTTCATTCATTCTATTCACTCATTCCGCTCATTCATTGGTTCATTCATTCATTCATTCATTCATTCATTCATTCTTTTATTTCATTCATTAGTTTCATTCATTCCATTCACTCATTCCGCTCATTTCATTCATTCATTCCTTTATTTCATTCATTCGTTTCATTCATTCCATTCACTCATTCCACTCATTCCATTCATTCATTCATTCATTCATTCATTCATTCATTCAGGCCATTCCATTTCAAATCATTTCCTTTCATTCATCTCATTCATTCCATTCACTCATTCCGTTCATTCATTGATTCATTCATTCATTCATCCATTCATTCATTCATTGCATTCACGTCGTTTCATGTATTTGCACCCTACTTCATATGAGTTCGTTTCATGTTCATGTTCATGTTCATTCATTCATTTCATTCCTGTCATTTCATGTCAGTTCATGTAATTTTCATTTCATTTCAATTTAATTTCATGGCTTTCCATTTCGTTCATTCATTCATTCAATTATTCATTCGTTCATTCTTTTATTCATTTATTCAATTTCATGTCGTTTCATGTCATTTCATTTCAATTCCATTTCATTCACCCAGTCTTTCACCCCATTGCTTCATTCATTCATTCATTCATTCATTCATGTTATTTTCAAGCCATTTTAATGTCATTCGACATCAACCCATTTCATGCCATTTCATTCATTCATGTCTTTCATTCACTTAGCTTCATTCATTCCACTTCATGCATTCCATTTCATTCATTTCATTTCTTGGCATTTCATTTCTTTCCTTCATTCTTTCATTCATTCATTTGTTCATTGATTGATTCATTCATTTATTCCACTCATTCGGTTCATTCCATTTCTATCATCATCTTTCATTCAAGCACTCATTCGTTCATTCCATTCCATTCCATTCCATTCCATTCCTTTCCATCCATCCATCCATCCATTCCTTCATTCGTTCATTCCTTCATTCATGAAGCCGTTCATCCATTCATGCATCTATTCATTCATTCCATTTCATTCCTTCATTCCTTCCATTCATTCTATTCCGTTTCATTCATTTCATTCATTCATTCCTCAGTTCATTATTTCGTTCAGATTCATTCATTCTTTCATTCCATGCACTCATTCATTCATTCATTCATTTCCTTCGTCATTTGCTTCATTTGTCTCATTCTTTCATTCGTTCATTCATTCATTGGTTTCATTTATTCATACAGTCAGTCAGTCATTGTGTTGCTTATTTCGTTCAATTCATTTCAGAAGCTGCACTCATTCAACTCATTAAGTCATTCGTTAATTTCATTCATTCATTGATTTAGTTGCTATTTTGAGGCATGAGTGCACTTTCACGTCACTTCTTTCATTTCATCTGCTTCATTTCACTCCATGTGTTCGATTTCTTGCTTTGCATTGCATTCCATAATTCAATCGCTCATTTATTCACCTATCCAGTGGCTCCATTCGAGGGATCCGTAGCTCAACTTGCTCTGCTCGGCCCGTGGCGAGGATGAGGAGCTCTTTGTCGTCCAGGTTGTCATAGGGAACCTTGAAAGTCTTGCTTCGCCCAGCATGTAGTGAGGACTGCCGCCATCATCACGGCCTCTGCGCTGCCCGACGTCACAACGCCAGCCTCGGCACTCGCCGCCGAGACATGTGAAGCGCTGCCGCAGTTCGCGTTCTTCCCCCTCCTGCTTTTTGAGACCGGCACCGGGCAAAAGGAGGAGCGCTGGCAAGTGCTTTCCGTGACGTTGATGTACCCACCTACAATCACATCGCTTGCCGTACAAAGATGGCCGAGAACTGAGGGTTGGGCCTTCGCAGGAGAGGTACACCCCTTGGCCTGCAGAGCCCTTGGGGCACACCACCTGTGCGAATTGCATGTACAATTTGACTCAGAATCTACCTTGATCTACACTGGTGCATCAGTGTCCTCATGCCTTCACCGTGCCCCCCTCTATCATCTTTCCATGGGATACCTGCTGCAACGAATGCCAATGCGTGTCGGCGAATGGCACGGATGCGAGTTGTCCGAAATAGTCGCGGGTTTCTGGATGTAAAGACGGTGTAGATTTCATTTTCTGTTTTTCTGTTGTGCAAGGTTTTTTTTTGAGAGTTTGCTCTCAGGGGCTGGCTTGGTTTGGCTTCTCCAGATGAACTCGACACCTTGAAAACTTCGTTGGTTTAGAAAACTTAGTGCACATGTATTTGTGTATATATATATATATACACATTCATTAGGCATACATGATCATGTAAACATAACGGTGGCAGATGGTGGCAGTAGTCGTCGTCGTCGTCGTCGTAGTAGTAGTAGTAGTAGTGGTAGTAGCAGCAGTAGCAGTAGTAGCAGTAGTAGCAGCAACAGCAGCAGCAGCAGCAGTAGCAGCAGCACTAGCAGAAGCAGAAGAAGAAGAAGCAGAAGTAGAAGTAGAAGTAGAAGTAGTAGTAGTAGTAGTAGTAGTAGCAGCAGGAGCAGTAATAGGAGTCGTAGTAGAAATAGTGGTAACGTAGCAGAGCAGTAGCAGCAGCAGCAGCGGTCGTCGTAGAGGTTGTTCGACCACAGCGCTACCAACTGTTGACGGCTCGAAACACGGCAACAGCTACTGGTTCGATTGTCTACAAGTACCTGTATCTGCTTTTCAGACCGTAGTCGGAATAACTCAAGGGCCCGAGTTTTGAGAGCCAGATGGCCACAGGTCAGGACAGCCTGTTTCGGAGGCTACCGGAGAGCCAACTCACGGAGTACCCGTTGCTCAACACTTTCCTCGTCGCCGGTTCGTCGGGTGGCGCTTTGTGCAGTGTCGCCGGGTATTGCATGTGGTCTTTTCGATGCGTTGCGTGCTGCAGCAAAGGTCGTTCCTGTGTCGTGGCACGAGTAAACTGTCGGCACCACAGTAAGAAGCCTACCACCATCCCAGAAGCTCAGCAAACGATCACAACTGAACACCGGAAGGCACACCACTGATAATCGCGTCAGTCGAAAGCCTTGTTCAAGTTTTCAAAGGGCCTCCACCGCGCCGTCGTCGACCCAAAGGCTGCCAGCTGTGTCGCAAGTGGCGCGACAGGAGAACTCCCCATGCTTCTGCACCTTGTCTGCCGAAATCTTGGAACATGAGTTGAAGGCTTTATGGCCGGGTTCGGTGCCACTGTACCATCCTGGCATTGCAGGAAATACTGGCCCTGCGCAGCGGCGAAATCAAGGCGAGGCAGTGAGAGCACAGCCACCCCGCATGGGCATCATGGGCATCAGTGTATGGAATGTTCCACGGCGGTGGCATTCCCAAGGTCTTGGACACGGTCTCTGAAGGACGAAGGCTCCACATTTTTATTACCCGACGACGGAAGCAAGTCTACTTCGTGACTCTAGTCTGGTAAAACATGCAACACACATCAACTGAGGCGGCCTCAAAGCCGTCTGGGCAAGAGCTGGGCTCCATGATGCCGTGGTCCATGGCGGAATGCTGCACAAGCGCATGGCCCTGACGGTTGCTCTTGGGTTGGCATGTCTGCAACGGTGACAGTTCACCTGCATTTCCCGGCAGGGTCAAAATCTCAAAAAAAACAAAGATCGGGCTGAATTCAGCCGCGTGGCCAGAAGAAACTGACCTGCGGGGCAGGAGTGCGCCCGGCGACAACCAGCATTGCTGAGCAGTGTCTTTCCATCCTCGGACAGAGAGGGGGAACACTACGTGCATCGAGCCGAGGGAAGGAGACTCGCGCGTTACTCTGGATTCTAGATTCAATGCACTCTACCTGCCATGCCTGGCATATCCAGGAGCAATGCATTAGCCACATCTTGGATTCCGCAGGAACACAGCCGGCTTCGGGAATGTGTCAGTTCGGAAATTGCGCTTACAATTGCAATGCATCCTGTCAAGACCGATCGGGTTCATCTCAAGACTGATGTATTCTCCCCAGGCATATTTTAGTATCCCCTGGCAACCCGTCAGTTCCTGCTGAAACCATCTTGAACTTCACCTATAAGCTCTCTATGCAAGTTTGATTTGCAGCGAAGTTCTAGTGCAACAACTTCATCTACCAGCCTTTCCGTTCACAAGCCGACGAACTTGCTTGAGCGGCTAGTCGCACTTCCACGGTACCAATCACAGAGTGTCGTTCGCATGGTTGCTTGGGAGGTTCATGCGGATGTCAAGCGCCACAGCCGGGGGCACTTGTAGCTGACAGAATTTCTCAGATTCATTTCGTAGTTGTTGCGACATCCCAAGAATCGTTTCCAGCTGTACGGTGTTATTGCTTGTCGTTTGTTCTCCCTGAGTGGATTCTTGCTCAAGCATCTTGGCTCGTGGATGTGCCTGCGTATATTGAATTGGCAATCTGCTATAAAGCCATGCTGTGACCACACACCGAGCGTGATTTCAACCTTGCATGGGCGCCCGAGTGCTACGTAGTTCTCTTGCAGCCGGCGAGGCGGTGCTCGACTTGTCAGTGGAACGAGCCCGGCTCTGCGTCCGACAAGGCTACCCCATGCTACCCCTCCGTTTTCCCACACGGAGGACCACCTTGCATCAGCCATTCGCCGGCTAAGGTCAGTCACCCCTGGCAGAGGGCCCTCCGGCCTTGAAAGGCAACCGGGAATGGTTGCTCTCTGTTCCTTTGTTTGTCGGCGGGCGGAACTATGCAGGGCCATGTCCCTTATCTCGCGCGCTCAGGGACGTTGACGCTGCCTCCACATATGAGAGGATTCCACGTTCTTTCAAGGCTGCAAGGCTGAGGCAGTTCCGCGACCCCGCCCCCGGCGCTTTGGGGCCAGATCGACTTGAACCCTCGCCTATGTCCCCGGTCACTTCGCTCTTTCGTTGTGTATTCGAGTTCGTTTTTCTGCCGGCTGTCCCTGAGGCCCTCTGAAGGTGTAGTTTGGGAAAGCGAATCCAGTTTTCGCCTCTGCCCTTGCCAGCCCAGACCCAACTGTGCTAAACCACTGCCAATGTGGGGCTCCACTCTGCTCTACCATGGCCGCCATCAACCGACAAAAGTCCAAAAATCTTACTTGTTGTCCCCCAATCATAACACAAGGGCTGTCATGGGGCCATGGTTTTTGCATGTTATTGCAAATCCACTTTTACACTATTGTTCGCTCTCAGTACTAAAGGGGGAGCAGCAACTCAGTAAAAGATACGCGCTCATCATGCTGGCCTGAGGAAACATTTGTCATCTTGCAGGCTTACTTTGGTATGTCCATCAACTGAGATGCTTACGCGCTGACATGCGTTCCACAACCCCGCTAATCTTGCCGCACAATGGCACCCCTCTCGCTCACGACGCTGACATGCGCTGCCTGAGTCGCCTTTTGCCTTTGACCTCTCGGTGACTCTGTGCACCGTCCTGACAGATGAACTCGGCCGTGCCCACAAGGTGCCCAGGGCAGGTACTCATCAGCACCTCCAAACGAGTCACACAAAGAGCGGACTACAATCTCGAACACTTTGCTGCGTTCTTGTGCGGAGATTACTCCATGGCAAGAGAGGCGAGATATGACTGGTTTCATCACCATGTAGCAGCCAAGGCAGTTCTCCTAGGGACTGCCAAAGGAACTTGTCAAGTTCTTATCGTGCACATAGCCAAGCTTGATCAGGCCGATGCATGTGCTGCGGCCCTCCGACGACGCCAATGACACCAGGATGCCTTGAGCCTATCCTCCTCTCAGTTCGCCTTGTTGTACTATGATGCGCGACCGCGTGCATGCAGAAGGCCAAGCTACATCAACCAACCCACCTCACAAATGCACACTGTTATAGACAGGTCCAATCATAGGATTCCGGCCTCGCGATCATCGAGGCTGGGGTGATCAAGGGCCTTGACCATGTCCGTTGCAAGCAAAGAGCTTCAAAACTGGAGTGACGAGAACATGCATCCTAAATACAGTACGAGTCTGTAAGTGTGGCCAGATCCTACTTAGTTTGCGTGCCCTGGGCACAGTGCAGCTAGCTCTTTCGGCACGGCTCCAACGCACCTCAACGCTTGGAACCCGGCGAAAGTGCTGCCGTCCAGTTCCAATGCTGCGGAACCTGCGACAGTATGCAAGCGAGCGATCGTTGCTGAGGCTGCGGGGGAAGGTGACGGCTCTCAAAGCAGCTCAATAGAGCAATCAAGGGAGGGTTCCTTTGGTAAAAACCCGTTGCTAGTCTGCCGGCTTGCCTGCAGCACAATGCTTTCCGCATTTCCTGCACAGCATTTGCAGCAATCAACCCATCCCGGTTCCGCAACTGTCCACAGCACCAGCACCTTTGACGTGTCGTCTGATCCACCAGGGCATGCAGACCCAAGGCACGCGGAAGGGCACCATCCCTCGCCCGTTGGTTGCTGCGCGCCGGATTGTCAGGTCAGTCACTTCCTAGACTATCGCGAAAAACAACTTCCGCCTCGGAGAGTTTGTTTCGGCGGCAAAAACTAGCTCCGACCGGGGCAGTTTGTTTCGATGGCGAAAAACAAACTCTGGCCAGAAGAGTTTATCTGGCAGAAAAGCTAGCGTTTTCTCGGGTCTAGGGAGGGAGGGATTGACGGAGGGAGAGAGGGAGATAAACCCTTTGCAAAACAAACTTTGACCAGCGGAGTTTGTTTTTCGGCGCGGAAACAAATTCTCCTGGCCGGAATTTGCTTGATTTGGCGAACTCCGTGGCAAAGATGGAAGGAGGGTTTGTTTCGGCAAAAAACAAGCTATGGCCAGGAGAATTTCTTTGGCCGCAAGTTCTCCGGAGGGCGGGGGAGAAACAGACAAACTTCTACCGTCAGAGTTTGTCTCTCCCTTGGCAAAACAAAGCTCCCAGGCAAATCGAGCTCTCCTGGCCGTTTTCGCAAGGTGGGGAACAAGAGATTGCTAACCAAGGCCAAGCAAACTTTGGCCCAGGACAGGGGTGTGCTTTACTTAAGCCAAAAACGCTAGAACTGGGGGGGGGGAGGGGGGGGGGGGGGACGGGGAAGGAGCGGGCGGATTGGCCTTGGGAAACAAATTGCAGTTCGGTTTAGCGAAAACAAACAGACAGCGAGGGACGGGGACTCTCACTGCCTAGCCCTGAAAGTTCAAAAAAAAAATTAGGTTCGTTTCCATTTTGAAATTGAAAGGCTCAGTTAGCCTGTATTCGAGATTTTACTGTCTGCCGCTGGTATGAGCGGGGCGGCTCGACCCTGGAGCCAGGCCCCTACCTTCCAAAAGAATTAGTTGTATCATTTCGTGTTCACTAAGAACTTCTAAGGGTTAGTTGTTTGGGCTTCGAGGCTTTAAGTCTGCTGCTCAAGCAACCACCGCAAACGAGTGCGAAGACTCTGCTTATCCTAACTCCAATTTCCTGCAAGAGCCGGACATTCTAGTCTTTAACTCTTGACCATCGGAAACGGCACTACAAATAACTAGTTGCAGGGTTTGCTTATCAGTGCGTTGCAACACAGACCGAATAGCAAGAGCTTTCTGCATGAAGTCCTGCTTGTTTACAGCATTTTCAGGCTTCTGAAGACGCTAGATTCAAATCCCACAACAAGCAAGACAAGCGCGATCAACTATCAATTTGTTCCATCATCCAACCAAGCAGAGGGTGCAGCAGCGACACTTCGAATATGGGACCAAGCTAGTATGCGAAGTGCTCAGCGCGTTGGGGTTGGCCCCTTGCAACATGCCACTCTGCACTCAGGTACGTCATATGCTATGCATTCTCTTCCAGTGATGAAGCAGTCCACATAGTCCCATAGCAAGGAGATGAAAGATAACAATCTGCACAAGAGATTGTGTGGCCTTGCGCCGGGCTAGGTTGCGGCGATAAATCTCTCCCTCTCTCTTGCTTGCTTGCTTTGCTTGCTTGCGGGACAGAATCTCTCTCTCTCTCTATCTCTCTCTTCTTCCGCCGGGTCATAGAGGCGAGTAAGGCCCCCCGGCCCATAGGGTCCCCCAGGTATTAGTGGGGCTTTCGGGGGGAGTAACAGTAACATCTCTCTCTCTCTCTCTCTTTGCTTTGCTTTGCTTGGGGGTTGAGCTGCAAGCAGTCCTTGCAGCCCGCGCTGTCGCGCTACTCTCTCTTTTTCTCGGCGGGGCTATGGGCAAGAGGGTTGCCCCCCCGGCGCTGTCTCTCTCTCTCTCTCTCTCTCTCTCTCACTCTTTAGCCTTACGACGATGGTGCTGAGGCAGGGGCCCAGCATTCAGAGAGAACTTGTTGTTGTTGCAGGCCAACGTCATTGATCCATTGTAGCCTGGGAGGACCCGATCAATCCCCGCATCCATCGAAATTGAAGGAAATGCAAACCGACAGTCAGCAAGGCCCATACCCTCCGGACACGGCACCTGCTGGGCAAAAAAGGGGGCAGGGCCACATCATCACCGTTGGCCATGCACGCAAAATCCACTGGAAACAATCGGTCGGGGTCAAACTATTCCCTGCGAAATCTCCATCTCTTGCACTGTGTTGTGACGACTGTGTCGAGTGCACATGTCCCTGTTCTAGATTTGCGTTGGCGAAAGGCGAGCCGATCGCCCTCCGAGACCGACCGCCTTCACACGTTCGCTACGAAGACTTGTCCCGCGAGATCGAGAAGCACATACTTCCACGAGGTTCCCAAGGATGAGCTTGTAACCGAGCAAAGGTCGGATTCCTTTCCCTTCTTTCGTCGGAATGCTCGCGGGATCGTGGCCGCGATCATTCGTCCAGTTCTCAATAGCTCGCACAAGCTCCGGGTTTCGGTCCAGTCCATACCACACCGCGCTGAAGAAGTAGCAGCCCTGCTTAAACCCCGGACCTGGATGGAACTGCCATGGTCCGCTGTGCCGTGTGCCACCTGAGCACAGAACGGAATTGGCCCCTTGCTTTGCTGTCCATGCCAAGCCATGAGAGCCCTCATGCCGCATGCTCGCCCATACCAGGCAAAGTGTGTGCATCCTGTATTTACCCTGTCTGTCTGACTAACAGCGTCCCTGGACACCTGGTTCAACTCAAATAAATCTACTTCAAGAAGAAGACTCTCTAGCCCTGTCCCGCTGCAGATTCAAAATTCAGCCTGTGTCCAGTAGCCGTGCACACATTCAGCAGGCTCGTGTTTGCGTGGCCTTGATGTTACTGCTGTTCATGCGGCTTGCCACCTGCCAGCAGAGGGTTTTTGCATTACTGCGTTCTTGGCGTGGCTGCAGCGCTGGATACGGTGCGCCAAAGGGGGTGGGTGCCTCCAGGACGCCTGCTGGGCATTTCAGCGTCAGCCGCTGTATTCGGCCAGCCTTTCGGTCGGTCCAGTAGACCTGGGCATATTCCGGGTCCACGGCCACGCCGTAGGGCCTCGGCTCTTATGCTCTCAGCAGCGCAGCATGGGTCACCCTTTCCAGGCGTCTGACATGCTCATGCCCGGTTCACTGACCAATACCTCTGCAGGCGGAGACCCGGCACCAGAAAACCGAAGAAACCCAAGACGGGCTGCGCAGTACCACTACCCTCCGTCGCTCTGCTCATCTCAGTCTTCGCAACAATGTAACAATATCCGGGTACGAGCCTCGGCATCACTCCCGTCCAAGTTGGTGCGGATAATGCGGCCTGAACTTGAGAATCCACCGGTACTCCTTTACACCTCTTGTCCGGGCCTGCATAGTCAGAGGCACTCCCTGTAAAGTCGCCAGTTTTCTCGAAGTCGGTCATGTAAAGTTTCCTGAGGAGGCGATGCCATGGCAACTCGCAGTTGTGTGTCTTGTGACTCTTGTGTCCATGAGCCGAGGCCTGTCAGAGGCATCGATGGCCATGCCGTAAGTGTTCATGATGGCCCAGCTCATGTTCAGCGCCTGGCCGATCTGCTGGACTCCTATAAGTCCTAGGGTCCTAGACGTAAACTAGACGTAATTCCCATTCCGATGGCAGCAAAATCGAGCAAATCGAGAGACCTATGATCGTTGCGGGCATGTGGAGCCCCTGCCAGTCTCTGCCTGGATGCCGCGCCCATCCAGAAGCGCCCGCTGTGTCCGGGCGTGGCCCACATCCGACCAGTAGATCTGGAGGAGAGGAATGACCCACAGCGAGGCAGACAACAATACTGTAATAAGCGCATGCTAAGACATAACCGCTTGCATGTGGAGACAAAGTGGCACGAACATCAGCAGAAGTGGCACTGTAGTTAAGGTTGCTCATGCTTCCTTCGCGAGCCCCGGCGAGCCCCTGGCCATGCCGCTGCCAGCATCGAGAGCTACATCGACTGGCGAGGCCAGCCCTGTCACAATGGGCTCCTGTCTCGTGCTGCACCTCCCTTTCAACAACACAAGCCTACACCTGAAGGCTAGGCACTCTCTGGGCATAAGCTCCTCCAGTCCAGAGGGGCTCCTTCGCAGAATGCGCCCGTTCCTCTGAGGTTGACAATCGACCGAAGAGCGTGAAACTGTGTACGACTCTTTCTGATGCGAGGCAGTGTTCTTAGCTCCCGACATCCAGTCGGCCCAGTACAGGACGTCCTTGTTCACGGTGACACCGCTGGCGAACTCTGCACTGGCAACTACCTGGGAGCCACAAACGGCACCTTGTCCTTTACCTACAAGAGCTTGCAACATACGACTGTGCAATCAGGGAGTTCTGTGACTTTCCGGAAGACCTGCGCTCAAAACGTGAATTTAGTGGAAGTGGTTGGGCCTAGTGGTGGGCCGATGCTGAGAGGGAGAGCAGGATCGACCTCTCTGGTGCAAAAAGCAAATTGACATGATGACTTGCTGTTGCTTTGGGTTGAAGCTGTGCCACCTTGCTTAATCTTTCCCGAGAACATTGCAAAGGGTTTTCCAGCGGAGTGCTCTGCTTGACCCTGTGACAAGAAGATGGGACATGGTGCTCCATGCTTTGAATCAATAGAGGCCCATGACACCCAGCTTTCGCTACGATTTGGCTGCGCGATTTGCAACCGCTACAAAGTAATTCTGACGTCAGTGTTCCTCTGAAGAAAATCAATTCAGCAACGCTTACAATGGTCATCTTGGTCGTGAATCGCTTTACAGCAGTTCTGACATATTTCCTCTTCAATGTTTCTTTGCCACTCAGAGTTCAAGAGCACCAGGCGAGGCGCAAGGTTAAAGGTTGACACTCAGGCTGTCACTATTTTACCGGAGTTCTGGCGCCACTTGTCCAGTTAAATGCTTGAAGTTTGCTGTGGCGTTGCATTGTGGAAACCACAAACCTTGACTTTGGGCACGGCGCGTCGTGCGTCGTTGGTTTTGTGCCTTCCGAGTGCTTCCAACTCGCAACCCAGTCGTTGGCTGGGATACACCGTGGCTCTGGTGGCATTGTTTGAAGACCCTTAGACGGGGCGACGGGTGCAGTGTGTCGTCTGAGAATAGTCCCGGCATCATTCTCCCTCCCAACAACTGCTTCAGATCGCAACCCATACAGTGAGAACGGTGTAAATCGATGTTTGTCTGCTGCCTTTTTTCTGGATGTTCTGATGTTGCCAGTTCATGATGTGGTGAAAAATCTGCTTGAACCTGGAAGCTGCTTCGTTCCATGAAGCAGGCCCCAGCCTCATCATTATTGATTGGCAGACCGCCCAAAGTGTCTGTATAATCTGCATAATCTGTTGAGTCATATTCTAGGCAAGACACGCCACGTCGAAACGATTTAAACATCTTTCCAGATGTGTTTGATGGTATGCGGCCGGGCTGCCAACATCACAGTGGCTTTGTCAATGGCTACCGGACTTGACCCAGGGAGACCGTTTACGTCGAGCCTGCGACTCACGGCCATCATCATCATCATTATCATCATCGTCGTCGTTGGCCTCCGTGCTTAACGCCGCCCCGGGGGTTGAGCAAATCTGCGAAGAAATGGTTTACATTCGCAAACGTTGGGGCGGTTCGGACAAAAGGAAGCACGTTGGACAGCATTTACAGCACCTTCTCTTGCTTGCGACTTTTGCATTGTGGGCGTGTTGGTCGCGCAATGCTGTTCACACAGTTGATGTGAAACCAGTAAACTCCTGGTGTGTAGACTGAGCCACACACTCCGAATATGCAAACACTGATCAACAAAAAAAAGCACACGTGGCTTTCGACCGTTGCCGCCGAGGATTTACACCTTCGACGCTTGAAGCAATACCGAAACCATCGGCATTTGTGGTCTCCTCTACATCCATGGCCCAGCCATGATGATGTCCATGGTCTCGTAGATTTTCGTGGAAACGACGGAAATTCCGATGTGCGTTTCATGTATGTGGCCTGCGTGGAACAAAACCCACGTTTACCCACTTTTTGTACGCAGAGTTCGCCAACTTGGTTTCCGTTTTTACTTCTTGGTTTTGCGTGGGAACCCTTGCTGCAAGACCAAAATTTGCATTTTTTGTGTGGGGAGATGCTTGACGCAAATTTAGGAAAAGCGCGTTGTTGCTTAGCATTTTGTTGTTTCGTGTGGCCTTCGTGGGCCAAAATGCACTTCCGACAAGAGAAACATGAAAAGCAGGATGACGGTCATGGGCGGGGTAGACACAGAAGTAACGGTCATCCATCAAGCTGTGGGAGGGAAGGTTTCGGCTTGATGGAAACACAGTACATGCCCTCATCGTCACCATCCTCATCATCGTCATCGTTATCATTTCTAGTATGAGAAAACACGAAGTGAAGCGTCGGGAGTGCAGGTTTCGGCTTCATGGAAACAGAGCAGAAGCCCTCATCGTCATCATCCTCATCGGACGTCATTATGGTTCGGGTATGTGTGCTCGATTCTCAGAACGGATTAGCCCATGGACGTCATCATGGTTGGGCTGTGAGTGCTCGTTTCTCAGATCAGATTAGACCATGGACATCATCATGGTGGGCCATGGATGCTCTGTTCTCAGAAGGGATTAGACCATGGACATCATCACGCTTGGGCCGTGGATGCTCTCGTCTCGGAGCGGAGTAGAGCTGGACGTCATCACGGTTGGGCCATGGATGCTCTCGTCTCAGAACGGATTAGACCATGGACGTCAGCATGGTTGGGCTATGGATGCTATGTTCTCAGAACGGATGCCTAAAACCTCAGTAAAAACGAGTCAAAACGCATGTTGCCGAAACGTGACGTGTCGTTCGTCCCACGCGTCCCACGCAGCACGTACGTTGCCGTCACGTGTCCCTGCTCGCGTTTACACAGGTATGGAGCTTTGTTGTTGTTGTTGTCGTTGCTGTTGTTGTTGTTGTTCATGGTGTTCTTCCCTTTGTTGTGGCAGGTCATATTGCTGTTACTTAATCCTTACTTTCCTTTGTTCTGGAAACTGAACTCTGGCCAATGTTTGCGATGCCGATGATGGCCTCGGCCGTTGGCATGCTTAGCTGTGCTCCCGCAAATCCTGGACTGCAGGCAGTTTTTTGGTCAAAGCGTAGACAGCATCTGTGCAGATGCTCACTCCTTCGATTTGAGATCTAACGAATTTCCAAGGGATTACGTTGTTTTTTGTCACTCCTGCGTGATAGCGCTGATATGACTTATAGAGGAAAGAACATCCAGTTCAGTGCTGCATCGCATTATTGGGCGAAAAGGAAGTGGTACAGCTCGTCCAAGCACCGATGTTCGGCATGGTTGGAGAAAAGGATTCCGGGTAGAGATGGACAGCACGAGAGGGTCCAAGGCCCCAGCCTCCTCGTTCTCACCGTTGAGGTCTGCACGACGGAGCCCACAGCAGAGGGCTGTCCAGTAGACCTGCATCGCATGAACCGCCACATCCGCCAGAAGGACAAATCATGAGCACCATTTCATGCTATGCTGCAGAATATGTAAGAATCGGTCGGGAGAAAGGGAAGGAGGCAGGGAGGGAGGGCGCCACCTTCCGCTGTTCGGCATCCACGGCCACATCGCGGGGCGCCTCTTGCACCTCACTCTTCACCTCAGGACGCTGCAACCAGCCAAGCCCAAACAACCTGCCTGCATGGGCAGTCAAGATTCTACCACGTCTCGAAGGTCCTGCCGAGCGGGAGTAGAGAAAAATCGAACGGGACAGGTGTGGTTGTCTAGCTCCTGGCCATCGAGAGTGGCGCTCCGCAGCTTCTGCGTGCCACCCTGCAAAGGGCGAGTCGGAGCCGGCCCACGTAAACAAAAAGCCCTCTTACTTTTCCCGTTCTTGCCTCGGTCCAGTACATTCGCCGCTCTCGGAGGTCCAAAGCAAGGCCGCGTGGCATCGAGAGCCCTGTAAGGACGTCCAGCACGGCGCTCGCCGGAGTCGGACCCAGCGCAAGCGCAGAGCCGAGTGCCCACAACCATCGACACGCATGGCAGCCTGTTGCCAGCTGGGCAAAGGAATTTCGTGCCTTCCTCGCCCTCCGTGCCGCCGTCACCTCGAAGCGGACAGCCCGGACAGGTCAAACGGAAATTGGGGAAAAGTTGGGGAAAGTCAGCCCCTGGCCGGGCACTGCATCGGGGAGCTCGCTTCGGGGGCCCCCGAAGGGGCCCCCCAGAAAGCGCCCCAAGAGGCCAAAAAAGGAGAGTTGGCAAACAGAAGACAGAAGGAATCTCTCACCTTGGCGTCAGCGTCAGACGCTCTCACTCTCACCGGCGGGGATTTGCTTTGGGGCAGCTCCTCCGCACTCTTTTGAACCGATGTCTGCGGTGAGCAAACATCACTCTCCGACGGCCCTTCGGCTGCTCGGCACAGCTGCAGGATGCACTCGGCCATGCCTTTTTCCACTGCCGAGTCACTTTGCACTATGGTTGGGGCATTTCAAGGTTGTCCTGTGCCAAGAACGCATCAGCATTTCTGCCAGGCGATATGGCCGACTGTACCCAGCCTGGTAGTCTTTGAGGGTGTATCTGCGGCAGCTCTCCGATTCTCATCTGACTTGGTGCTCAAGGCGTGACATGGAGCGATCCTGGCAAGCATGTTTGGCAGGGCTAACTATTCAGCCGTGCGTGTGCGTCATGGTTGGCATGGAAGGCCTGCCTGCAATGCATTCAACTCCTGGTAGCGTCGCAAATCCAGAGGTCGTCGAGGGTCGTCGAGATCTCAGGAACGCGACTGCAAACCGAGCATCCCCGAGGGTCCGCAACTTCGTATGCACCGTTGTGCAGAAATTCCGCGCAGTATCTGCGCTCGCGAAGGCAGAGCTAAATGGCGGTTGATTTATTAGGGCACACTGTACACTAAGAGGGTTTCGTCCTCCAACAAACCCTCCTAAATTTCAGGCCGGCACCGACCAATGCTGATTCAATGCCTGCGTCCTCATTACGTCGGACACGCAGGGCACAGCAAAAGTATACCTTTGCAACGCAAAGTTGAATGGCTTCCTCCTCCTCCAGGGCGGCCCATGTGGAGGCGTCGCTGCCCTGAAATGCGTGCTGCCTGCGGATGGCAGCTCTCCAAGTTCTACGAATATACCACGCAGGGCCGGGATATCATCCGGGTGTCAGGCGGTGGCTTCGCTGGAGCGCGCTGGGCGGCCTCGCAACGCTAAGACGAAGTACCGTGCACCATTCGAGCTCTCGTGATGCTCTGGCTCCCGGGCGCGCTGGCGGAGGCGCCGGTCCAGGCCCTTCAGGCGCTGGACTTCGCGAAGATCCTGAAGAAATCCGCGGCGGACCGACTGTCCAGTCGACTTGAACCGATCCATGAATGTCGGCCTCCTGCTCCAGTGCCTCAATATCGCTTTGGTGCATCGTGTTCGCTTGTCAGCACCCCCAGCAAGAAGGTCAAGCGCATGGCCCGGAAGGGCTCGGAGATGGAGACCTGCATGGCACACACGCCAACACCCAACAATAGCTTGCATCCGCAATCAACAAACCACCTGCTCGCTTGAACAACATGCCCCTGCTTCAGTTCTGCATCCCCTCTGGCTCTTCTTCTTCCTTCAGGTAAAGGGAGCGTGCGAAGCCCCCCGGCCCTCTCTGGCTCTCTCTCTCTCTCTCTCTCTTCTTCTTCTGCACAGCCAAAGAGGAGGGCAGCCCCCCCTCCCGCGCGCGAGCGCGCACTGGTTCATGTCCCGTCGTTGTGAGAATTTGCCCCCCGATGAGGCCGGTGTGTGAGTGCTCGTGAAACCTCTAAAACCCTTAACACTATGACCCTCCGGCCTCGTCGCTTAGGCTGAAACTGGGACTGGTCGCCTTTTCGCAGCGCTCTCTCTCTCTCTCTCTTTCTCTCTTTCTCTCTTGACGAGGTAAGGGGCCCAGGGCGGTCCGACCCTGAGCACCGTCTTTCTTTTCTTTTCGTCAGGGGTAGAGGAAGGGGAAGTTCCCCCGCCCGCGCGCACGTCGGCGCCTGTTGCGGAGGGAAGAGTGAAGCACTTACGCACCACAAGGGCTAGTTTTTCGCATCCGTTTAACGCGTACACCAACAAGGGAAAAGCCCCCGAAAAAGCCGAACATGTACAAGCTAGGAGCCATGACTTGTTTGGCGAAGCGGGACTCGCCCAGGATCGTCATGATGCTGTCCGGGCCATCCGGGGTTACTTGCACACTCCCGATGTCCAAGCGAGTCGGGTCAGCGGCCTGGTTGGAGATGACGTGGGTCTTTTTCGCATTGATGCTGAGCCCAAGTTCCAGGAAACATCTTTCTAACTCTGTTAAAACCTGCTGGACGTACTCCGGGGACTCTCCCCACATATAGCCATGAAGGCAGCACCTGAGTGGGTCGGAGGATGCAAGGCTGCATGGCGGCTGACATGTGGGGGCTTTCCCCCGTTGACTGCGTGAAGTGCGGCATCCAATGTTTCGCCAATCTCAGCAGCAAAAAGCACTGGGCTATCGGGGCTGCGTTGCCTTATCCCGTTGGTTTGAGAGATCATCACCTTGTGTTTTTGGACATAATTAAAAGTTCAGGACACGGGCTTCAAGGAGACGGAGCCAGAGTCTTGCTTCCCACGGCATGTTGCCCTGATGAGCTATCTTGCGCATGACTAAATCACCTAGTTTTTCTTGGGCAATCGAGTCAAAAGCTTTAGCGATGTCAATTTTCACTATGTAAAAGGGGGCACGCCATTCATGCGCAACTCGGGCCAGTTTACGCAGGGCAAGGATAAGTTCCACTCCCTGTTTGTTGCGGCTGGCCCACTGATGTTGGCAGCAGTCTTGCAGGAAGCGGGTTCCCCTGAGTAGCAGCAACTGGGAGGTCCATTTGAGAATCGCACTAGACAGTGTTATCGGACGTGTGTCCGACCAGCTAGCGGGAATTGCAACTTTAGGGAGAAAGCCAGAAGCGCCTTCCATGACCCAAGGGGGTAATTCCCCTTCGTAGAGGCAAACATTCAACATGTCAGCGATTTTGGGCCGCCACCTGTCGTCATCAAAAAGCAGCTTGAGAGCCTCTAGGGCAATGCCATCTGGGCCCGTTGCTTTGTGGTTTTTCCACTTCGCCATGGTAATGCGCATCTCAGACTCACTGAAAGGTTTCCAAGGCTCTTGCTTGCACAGGGCTGAGGCTTGCTGGCGCATGGCCTGCATCGCCTGTGAAGTTACGTCGGCTGGCCTACTCGCGAAGATAGTACTCATGTGCTTCGTAAGTTTGGGGGCCCACTCGGCATCATCAAGAAGCGACTCAGCCCAATTGGCCCGAGTGTTACGATGCTGCAGGGCATGGAAGGCATTCCAGTCCCCGGCTCCAGCGTGCTCCGCCAGGGCGGTTTTCCAGGCTTTGCGCTCTTTCTCAGCGTTTTACTTACTAGTTTCCACGCTGCTTTAGAAAGGGGGCCTGGTGGGACTTCCCTAGCCTCTCGTCTGGCTTGCTTGAGGGCTGTGCTTTCGCGGAACTTAAGGGACCTGTTTGCTGCCTCCGTCACGGCTCTGGCGGCCGCTGCAACGGAGGCGTGCAGGTCTCCCTGAACTGCTTGATGCAAGGCTAGGGCTTCATGGCAATTCTTTTTATTTTTAGTTGGCGCGCACTCCAGACCACAGTGTTTTTCGGCGCGGCGCGAGCAGGGAGGAGGATCTCCCCCAGGATGGGCTCATGATCTGATCTGGCTCTGTCGCGGAAGGACCCCACCTGGACAGTGATGAAGGCAAGGTTACGTGAGGCCAGATAATCCAACCTTCGGGGTGACATCAGCGTGTTGTAGGGGAAGTATGAAGCTGTTTCGATGCCTTGCATGGGTAAGGTGACCCCTCTATCAGCAAGCCACAGGAGAATTTGCTCTCCCCGACCGGTACAGGACAAAGTCAGGTCACCTAGTAGGGTCCTCCCTGGCAGGAGAAATGTCTCATTTGCATCGAGCCCCAGCAAGGCTGTGTGTACCTGGCAAGCTAGGGCAGACAACCATGTGTCCAGTGCCGCAGCAGTTTCTGCGATGGTGAACTTATGGGAGATATGACCTGAGAAAAGACCTAGTCTTTTATTGTTGTGCAAGCAAAGGACTGTGCTGCAGGCGGCGTGGCATAGGCGCGTGCGGGAGTGTGTCCCGAGGAGTTTGCTGTAGGCAATGCCACATCCACGCCACTGGCTAGGCAATTTCCCATGCACGAGCATCCAAGTCTCGTTCGCGTCAAAGTGCGGCTCTCCTTGCGTTGTTATCTCTTGGAGAAAAACAACCTGGAGAGCAGACAAGGGGAAAGTTCCCCGGAAACTGGCGAGCAGGTCAAGGACAGAGTCCACGCTCATGCCGCCAAGGTTCCAAGTGGCTACATGCATAGGGCCCTTTGCAGCTGAGGAGTCTTGAAACTCAGTGGGGTCGTCCCCCTGCAGGAGGGTCAAGTCAAATCAGCGCAGAGCCGCTAGGAGCGGCTCCCAAGTAATGCAGAGCTCTTGGTGGTCAACGGCAAGTAGTCGTGCGATGGCCGGGAGGTCGACCCAACCACAGCCAGTGGTGGAACCGGTGGGACCTGCTGTGGACCCCGATGAGATCTTTTGGCCTTTGAACCAAACAGTGCCCATGGTCCACTCTGGCTCGACGCGACGGTCCACCTGCTTCGATGATAAGGCGCTTCGCTTTTACCAGCCAGTGCTGCTCGTCGTCGTCTCTCTGGTGGCTGGCTGATAGTTAACCGTTAACCACAACTTGGCTTGATTGACGTCTGGTTTGCGTCCAAGGTTGATGTTGGCGGCATTCACTCGCCTGATGCACGTCTGCACTCGCTGACGCATGGCTTCGTCAGTTGCGCCGGTCATGGGCGCAATAGGCACGAGGACAAATCCCCGACGAACATGTGGGACAAAGGCGTCGGCCATGTTAAGCTGCAATTGGAGGTCGCAGGCCAGCTCATTGGCTTTTTCCAAGACGAGAGCTGGGACACGGCCTGCATCCATGGTGCCATGGTGGAGGGCGTGCTGCTGGAGGACTGGAGGGACTTAACCGTCCCTTCGTGAGGCGAGCAGCCATGGCCTTGTTGTCTGTAGCGAGCTGGCTGATCTGAAGGCCCTGTTCGGCTTGTCCTGCAGACAGCGCCTCCACAGCTTGAAAAATACGTTCATTGTGGCTCTGGAGGCTTGTTTCGAGGGCAGCCACACGGTCATTGACCCCCGTCACAGCGCCTTGAATTTCGGTTCACAGAACTTCCCTGATAGATTCCAAACTGAGGGCTTCGGCCACCTGTCTCCATGGTGACGAGGATGGGCTCCCCTTCCAGGTGTAATGTGAGGATAACAAGCTTCTTGGCCCTGCCAATATCACGACCTTGACGTAGTGATAGTCGACGATCGAGGTGGTCGCCCTGGCGAATCGACTTGTAGTGATTTGTCTTGAGTGGGGCCGCCGATTGCGTTCAAGCAGCGGGGCACAGTGTCCCGAAGGTAGAGGCGGCAGCGGTCACCCTCGTGCTGCGTAGCGTTGCGCACCGACTTCCCGCACAACAGCGATGAGCTGGGACAGAGCGATCGTCACAACCTCAATGGACAGCAATCGTGGCACGACAAGACAGGCCTAGGGAGTATACGCCCGGGTTGAGGAGGGAGTGGACCTGAGGGGGGAGAGCGAGACAGGGAGGGGGGGCAGATCGGCCACTCCTCTCCTTGAGCCACTCACGGCCCTGGGCCAAAATGGCTACCTCTCTCTTGCTTGCTTGCTTGCTGTATGGGGACAGGGTACCCTGGCCGGAAGGCCTACCGCCGTGGTCCGCAACGGTACGTTCTCCAGGCCCCTTTCGGGGTTGGAAACATGTCGTTCCCCTCGATGTTGCTTTTCAACCTCCAACCCGAACAGACACCCCTCCTAAAACCATGACCATGGAAGACCATGTAAGCACCACTGAGGTCATCCGACCGCCTCAATCTCCCAACTGCAACTACTTGGAGGGCAATCCTGCAACTTGCAACACTGAAGTAGGCCACACACATATCCAAGACAGACTACAACCAAAGTAAAGGCAACCCCCTGCTGCTCCTCCTTGCCTGCGAGGAGCTCCACTCCCCCATTCAGCAAAACAAAGGTTGAGATTCTACGATTAAACCGACCTCACCTGCCTCCCCACCT